TCTTTTGGTTTCCGAAAAAGCTATTTACGGGTTTCTTGGACAATTCGTCTACGTTTGGATCAAATTTAGCTTTGAAAATCCCCCCATCAATTTATGCTTAAAAAAAACAAAGGATTTCTGAACAGCTGCGTTGTGCAGGGAGAACGCCTAGAAGAGTTCGGTGAAAGCGGAGATGACAGGATGGATGACTGAGGTCCTACATGTTGGTCTCATGAACTGGACTCTGCTGCGTCTCCGTCTCCTCTCCGGTGGATTCGGCCACCGGCGCCGAGGCCTCCTCCTCTGGAGGCGGCTCGGGGGCGGTGGCTTCAGGTAGGCTCCACGAGGTCGTCTGGGTCATGTGACTGCCCCAATTTAAAAAAAAAAAAAAAAAAAAAGAAGATGGTTTCTAGGTTAATAAATACTATTTTCGTTACCCCACACAAGTTGCAGTGAAGGAACGGGATTTTATCCGGCTCTACTTCCTGAGCTTTATGACACGCAATTGGAAATCCAAAAACGCATCTGCATCAGCGGCGGCAGCATTAATGTGATGTTTCTTAGGAGTATTAATGGTTTCATTTTCTGGCTTCAAGCACATTTAGAAAGATTCAGTGTTTTGATGTTCTCAGTGACAGATCATTTTCCCTGTTTCTGAGAACTGTGGAATCCCATCTGGAGTTCAAAAGCACAGAGCGTGATCTACATCTCCGCTCTTAATCCGGTCCAATCAAAACCGAGTTTTTTTTTTTTTTTTAAATCAGATCCTGCTCTGTCAAGGTCTGATTATATGAGAACCAGCAGGAAATTAAGGAAAGTTGTTGGACAATGCCTGGCAGGAGGTGCTTTTAACTTAAATGAAGGAGAATCAGAGTTTTTTTTTCTTCCTCTTTCTTTTTAGAAACCTGATGGTAAGATCTTACTTGACAAAGTATATGACTCCTTCTGTGGTGTAGGCCTTCTCCCAGCCATAAGGCGGACCTGGCAGGGAGACAATAAAACATCTTGATAATTATTTTTGTTTCAAAGTACTTACACCTTCAGGGTGTTTCCACATTTTGCTGTGTTCCAACTTCTTCTATGTTAATATGTTCAATGGATGAAAATGAACAATTCTTCTAAAATAGTCCTGGATAAAAATGATTTAAAGAACATTTCTAAGAACAAAGTAAAAGAAATGTAAGGGCAAGAATATGAAAAGCATGCAGGAAACCGAAAGATAACTAAAAATAACCCCAAAAAACAAAACAAAACAAAAAAAATAGGGTAGGTAATAAATGACCATGACACAAACAGGGAGAAGAGACAGAAAGACAGGAGTTTGGATCTTGAGGTTGTGATTGCTGGATGAGCAACGGGCGTGCTGATTGGATGGAATGAAACACAGTGGAAATAAATGGTTTTCGCAACAAAATCATGACATAGAAACTTTTTACTTCATGAGGGTTACCTCAAACAAAGGACATCAAGAAAGCAAACAATGTAATGCAAAAACTTAAGATTTCAAGAAAAAAAAAAAAAGATTAACGATTATATTCAATGTCCGGGAAAAAAGAAAAGATGACGGTGCAGCTAACTTAACTGTGACAGAAATCGCTTTGGTTTGACACTTGATGCTACTTGGTCTGAAAAGTAAAACACAGACGTGGGATTAATACAATAATGAGATGTGTTTAATAAAGCAGAATGTTCAGCTGCTATGTAAAAATAATTGTTTTCGCACATGTTTGTTTTTGATTTCAAGTGAAGCGGTTATGTAAGAGAATTACTCCAGACGCTTTGTCTGAGGCTTGCTGGGCTTGTTGACCCAGCGCCGGCTCCTCCCTTAAGCTGTTTTTCTTAGTCATTCAGTTTTATATGTCAGGTTGATTGAAACTGAGTGAAAAGATAGCCTGTGCCTAAAAAAAGACTCGAGAATCCCTTCAGAAATAATGAAAAGCCAAAAATAAATGATGCCGAAATAATTTCTGGATTTGTGGTTGTTGCGCAAAACAGTTGTTAAAAAAAAGGAGTGGGTGGGTGCAATGAAGAATTTTTATTTTTATTTTTTGTGACTGAATAATTGTTTCACTGCAGGTTTGAAAGTGGATTTCTGCTCCGAACATTTTAGGGAACAACACTCCTTTACCAGTTTCCGCAGAGGAACGACTTCACTTAGAGATGATCATTTATTATTAATGCAGCAGAGTTCAGCAGGTTCGTCTAGTTTACATACAGTGACTTCACGTGTTACACCTTCTGTTGAGTATCAGGCAAATCTGCTGATTTTAAAAGCTCTGCCAGTGACCACATTGCTGCTCCAGTTCTGTCTTCTTTTCAGACAGAAGACAGAGCTTTTTTTTCTCCTGCTTTGAACTACTGACCGATTTCAACCCCCCCTCCACTTCCAGTGAAGCTCTAAATGCAGATGAGAGCTATTCTCTGCTTTAAAAGCTGACTGTAACTTTAAAATAAATGAGCAGAGGCAGCTGGGAGTCACTAAATTATTCCAGATGTGCTTAAAATCTTGCCCGATATTTGGTCTGGATCAGTTTTACAGATGCACATAGATCCCATCTTGCGGATGTCGCCCGGATCGGTCGGCCTCCCCCCTAAAGTTTGGTTTTGAGCGTCGCCGGGGAAGACGTGGGCGTCCTGCCGTTGTCTCGGTCCCGCAGACGTCCTTCAGCGTTCACGGATAAGTCGGGAGGGAGGGAAGAACTGTGAGACCGAGCACGACTCGGTCTCGCGGAAAGTAGGTCAGGCTTTGCAGCACACATTCAGACGCCGACACATTTCGTCTACGACGGTTTTAGACGGAGGCGCACGTTCGGAAAGCAGGACGCTTCAGCAACAGGTGGGAAGTCGAGCCCAAGCCTCCTATCTGTCGTTACACGACGACTTTAAAATCTGTTTACGACTTTGAAAACATAGTAAAAAAAATAGGCAAGTAAAACCACAACAAAGCCATGAGACTGGGGAGATGAGCATTAAGAGAGATACACCGCAACTGATCCTGACATCATAGGAACCTAAGAGGAAAGCGGGGATACTTTTGTTCTTTTCATTGATAATAAAGAAAAATAAGCATTGTGAATTTTCCCCAATAGCAGAAAGTATCTGTGCTGCAATACTCAGCATGGTCTGTGCTGCAGATTCAATTCCCCTGGTTGCCTGGAAACAGGTAGGGCTTCAGAATCGTAAGGCTGCTGCAGGACGTCTTTATCCTTCAGCACTTTCTACCACTTTAATTGTTTTCACTCATGCCTGCGTCTGGCTGGTTGTCCTTGCAGGCTAAAATGATTTACACAACGTTCGGCGACTAAAAGGAAGTTTAGTCTCCAATGAACATAATTTTCACCTCTTTATATATATTTTTTTCTAAATGGAAGACTGACTTCTCCAGCTGGGTTTGGGAGAAAGAGGCACTAACTGTGCTTTTTTCCCCCCACTGTGGCCATTGCCCAGTTCAGATCATCGACTTGTTAGTCTTCTTGGTCGCAGCAGGAAGTCACATTTTCACAACAATTGGCAATTAGCAGGAAGTAAAATATTCAGCAGCTTCCACAGACGATGGAGACGGGGAAAATATTGCCATGACAACCTGTCGTCCATCTGCAGCTCTGTCCTCGGAACACGTTTCAGGTGCGGCAAACACTTTTAGTTCACATTTCAACACATTTAGTTCACTCCAGACTTCTTGATGCAGATAGTTGAAAAGGAAAAACAAAAAAACATCCCAGCTTCTGCTCAGGAGCTTAAATAACACTCTTTTCAATATTACCTAACTCGGACCAACTCGTGTTACCTGTAAGCTTCCCGATGTCATAAGCTTCAGATCTGTCCGATAGGTCTGACTGGATCAAATTTCTCACACGATTTCTCAAACGATTCAAGCTCTTTGGTTTCCTTCCAGTGCAAAATTTTGTTCAGTTTGGTTTATTTGAATTTAATCTTCACTATGCCCTCGCAGCTGTTATTTCTTATATAAAAGGCCGTTGTTTCTCATTGTAAAGGACAGAACATCACACCACAGGACAAAGATGGATTATAGTCCTTTAATTGGTCGGACTTACTCGACCAGGAAGCAACTCTTTCTCTCTCTGTGACGCTAAAGTTGACATGCTAGCTGCCGTCATCCACGTCTTTCTATCAGTGCATCAGCGAAGCATCAAGCAGCAGTTTTTCTTCTACGTAGTGTTTCATGACAACCTCCCGACGAATCATAAAACTTCCTAAATATGCTCTTTTAAAATAGCTTTAATGTGGTTTTACGGTCGGTTACAGTGTTAAAAAGTCTAAACATAAACAAAGTTGTCATCAACGTTTCATTGCAGAAGCACCCGCGGCCGTTCTACAGCAGAATCAGCACCATGGACAGCAACAACCGACAGCTCTGGTTCAAATGAGGCTCGATGGCCGCCGATGCTCGGGCATGCTGCGCCTCCTTCACCATTTCAACACATTTTGAGATCGCGTTTGTAGGAAACTCATATTGTGCTCAGCACAAGATGCTCGATCTAATTCATTCCCTCTTCTTTGTGTTTGAGATTAGATGATCTAGAAGAGCCAGAGTGATGAATGACCAAGCAAATGTCAGGTATCGGCCGAAAACGGTCCAAGATGTTAATCAAGAAGTGCTGAGTTAAGAGTTTAGTGACATTTGATGAAGACGATGAACAATTTTTGGAGTCAATTTGATGTACGTCTATGAGTTTTGAGAATCTGAGGCAGTGAAAATGTTGGACATTATCTATTTTGTAGAATCAGAATTGACAAGACCGGAACATGGAAGTGCATCAGTTGGGAGAAAAAAATATAGGAATAGCACATAATGGTCTTAGAAAAGTAAGTTCAAAGACCCACACTGGTTCTGATTCATTGTGTCCACAGAACTCTGCGGCAAACATTCTAACGTCAAGTCGTCTTTCTACACTTTTGGCTGTTTCAACTCAGAAGAACCCCAGATGTACGGTTTATTAATGACCTGAAGAACCAGGAAAAGTTTTTTTTTTTCAAATCAAAATATTTATTTCATCTGATTGTATCAATCACAGCCCAGCTGGTCAAACAGAGCAAGCAGCTCTGGTTACAAAGATCCTGATCCTGGTTACAAAGAACAACTCATGGTCCATTGTCCTTGAATCTGAAGATTCACTCCGAAAAGGAGCAAACAGCTGACAACTCCAGACGGGATGGAAGCGTTCCCGCTGTCACGGCTTCCCTCCCTCCTTGGCGTCCGTGGGTATATCAGGCGAGCTGGGCTTTCTCCTCGTGTGCCGCTTCACCGTATTGCTTTGTCTTCTTCGGCTAATCTACTGCACTAACACGAGCGTTCAGCCTCTAAGATACAAAGCTAAACATCTGAGCATTTTAACAGTGACAGAGAGTTACAGAGACTCGGATTCTACGCGTGTGGGTTCTGGACGGAGTATGTCAACCGTTTTTTTTTTTTTTTTTTAAACTGTGATGCTGAGGTTTCTGATCTCTACGGGTTGGTGAAGGTGCTTACCGATAAGAGAAGATGGGTCAGAGTTAGAGGACCACACCAACGTTGCGGGAGCTCCACTGAAATCAGATCATCAGGTCAAACTTTGAAACATTCATGTTGTCCATCAGGTTGTTTGTGTTTTGTTTTTTTGGTGCAAGAATGTTCTTGCGCAGCTTTTTTTTTGTTCTGTTCTGTTCTGTTTGTTGGTTGGTTGGTTAAAATCTTGATATGCAGAAACGCAGCTGCACACTAGCATGTGTCATGGAATTCCTGTAGCAGGAGGCGAGAAGGTGAGGAGCGGCAGCGAGGAGAGAACGAGGCTGCCGACGTCCGGTGTCCTGCAGGAGGTGCTCCTCTAGAAGGTCAGCACTGAAACGGGGTGGGGAGGGGGAGGACAGTCACTCACGGCGGCAGCCTTCAGCTTTGTCCGGTGGGTGCGGCATGCGGGGCGGCACGGAAGACGGACAGGGGGTGGAAGAGGAGGAGGAAAAGGTGGAGAGGAAGACCTCTCACTTACAGTCCACCTCCAGGATGGCTCTGACGGACCGCGTGAGCTCTTTCGCCTCCTGGGCGAGCGTGGCAGCGGTCCACGGGCTTTTCCTGTAGCGAGGGGGGACGCCGTGGGACGACGAGCCGGCTTTGACGTCTCCCGAGCTGCGAACACAGGCGAGGCGGGGTCAGCGGAAAGAAAAAGTGCAACACATGGAGACCCCCGGAGATACTCCCAGAGGATTCTGTTAAACTGACCGCAAAACATTAAAAAGTGAATCCGAGTGATGACTGATGTTTGTACCAAAGGATTCCTTTACATGGGACGCCATTGACTTCTCTTTTTCTGTCCAGGTTGATTAAGATTATCCCTTCTACAAACAGATGGCAGGCAGCATTAATCATAGCGAGGCCTTAAACTAATAAGAGTTTTTGTTTTTGGTGACAGTGGGTGCTGGGTTAAGTTTTCCTGTGTGGAGTTGGCGTGTTATTCCAGAACAAGCCAAGAGTTTCTATGGGTACTCGGGATTAAAGTTTAGATTTATGGCCGGAGTCCGAGCAAAAACAAGACCCAAAATTCTAGCCGGATTGGGCCAGAATTATGTGATTGATGGTTGGATCCTGGTGTCATAGTGCAAACAGAGGCGTAGATAGTTAGTTAACCTGTTGAGGAAATAAAGAAGGTCGGGAGGGAAAAGTAAATCGGACTGTAAACAAAGGCAGCGCACTGAATGCTGGGTGGGACTAATAATGTAACACAGGATAGTTAAAACCTGAGGAGCAAAAATAAAATGTATTTTTACTCCACTTTTTAAGGTAATTGGGTCTGAAATGTAACCAAAAAAGGTGAGGTAGACTTCACCTACTTTTGAATTCAGAACCTTCAGCTGCCTGTCAGTGACGCCTTTGAGTTTGTTGTCGAAGTCAGGCAGAAGTTAAACTACAATATAGATAATTTCTCTGAAGTTGAATTGTTTTCTTTCTTTCTCTGAACTAATTTTGAGTTTGAACTGAGCTCTGAGGAAATTATGGCTTTAATCTGTGTCAGAATACTAAAAGCTAAACCAGGCCATTTATTTCAGACAAAAAAAAAAAAAAAAGAAGAAGAGAAGAAAGAAATATCAACAATGCTTCCTTTATTGAATCTATGGATTCTGTGGATGGACGAGTGGCCTAGAAATGAACAAACCAGAGAGTGAAAATAACAGAAATAGGACCGGGGATCCGCTATGGGGGGTAGAATGTCCAGCGGTTATGAAACCTCAGGCGTCCCACTGACCTGCAATGAAATAAAAGAAGCTGGCAGGAGGTTTCATAGGTAGATGACTTAAAAGCATGACCGAGTGACCTTATTTGCAGAGTCCACCTTACACAAGCTCCAAGAGAGAGCCGATAAACTGGGATAAAATTACGGCGGAGGGACAAAAGGATGAGGGCAGATGGAAGGAAACATGAAAGATAAACAAAATAAGAAGAGAAAAGGGAGGAATAATAGGAGAGATTATGAAAGTAAGCAGATGGAAAACAGGTGAATTAGTCGACGAAAAAAAAAAATTATATATAAGAAAAGGAAAATTCAAACGGATCTAAAGGGACACCAGCATCAGAGACGTAAAAACAAAAGATAAATAGCAGGAAAAGGAACTTGCACAAAGAGATTTCCGATGAAACATCAGTGAGAGAGAAGGATGAAGGGAGGAAATGAGACAAAATGTAATTTATAATATTAAAAAGTTGTAAGAGACAAGGGAATCAATCAGAGACGTTATGAGTCTCTGATTGACTCATCTAGGTGCACGCAAACCATTTGATGATAATAAGGTTACTCATTCATCCATAAAGGACAACTTCAGACGCAGAACAAAAAGATAATCAGACATCCATCCATCTGTCCATCCAAGCCAGACTTCAAAATTTGTTATAAAGTGAACAAGTAAGCATGCTTTGTGTGACATTCCTCGTGGTGATCAGTGTTGTGTGTTGGTGGTTAATAAATACAGATCAACAACTGGATCGGGAAGAGTAATTGGTGACCTCTTACTCGGTGGAGACATTTCGTAATGCCGCCGCTCGCAGCGGGAGCCCATTACCGGGAGCCAACCGGTGCCCTGCCTGAGCTGAAGTGGGCCACGTTGGACCACTGAGTGTGTGCGAAGCCCAGACTAATGGGCTCTCTGCTGGAGACATCCTTACATGACTGAGTAACACACATCTCAGTTACCTTTACTTCTAACTTATTTCCTGTGGACCAAATGTGCAAAGGGAACTTTCCTGAACTTCGTTTAGACTTGTTGAAAGTCACAAAGATGTTGAATGAAATTGTTAATTTGTTATTTCATGGATGTACAGACAAACTGACATCCTGTGCTGATGTACAGGAAATAATTTACCCACCGACAGCGTCCATTATTAGAAAAACAAAACAAAACAAAACTTTGAAGTAGTGAGAAATGCAGAGAACGAAATATGAAGACATAAGAAAAACGTCATTTCTTTACCTTTTTAAGAATTTGAAAAACAAGAACACAATCATTTCATGATCATTTCCTTTGATTTATATTTGTTTCGAAAACTTCAAATATCGAAATTTAAATGAGAAAATGGTAATATCAACATTTTAAGCAAAAGTAAATAAATTAGCTTCAAGTGACTAGATGAGGATGAAAGTATTTAGTTGCAGTTTTTGCGTGTTTACATGTGTTGCTGCTTAGAAAATTAATATATTCAAATACTTAATTTTTTATATTACAGAGAAAAACAAAATCAAATCAAATATAAAAGTGTAAAAAAACAAAAAAAAAAACAAACTGATGTGATTGTTTTTCCGTTCAAACATTTGTTTACATGTTTCCCCGTCTGCACATGAGTTTTATCACGATTCTCGTAGATCTTAACACACACTACATCTGCATATGAGCAGCAACACAGCAGAACACTGTGGTAAAGACACACGCACACACACACACACACACACACACACACACACACACACACACACACACACACACACACACACACACACACACACACACACACACGCAGACACCTTTGAAGTGTGTACCTGTAGCTCTTTGTGGGTCCGTGACTTTCCAGCAAAAAGTCCTGAACGTTCTGCAGTAAAAGGACAAAAAGAAAAACAAACGTAAACTTCACGGAGATGATCAAAGTTTGGATTCAGGTTCTGGTTCACCCTCTCACCTCCACAAAGCTCAGTAGCTTTCCCGTTGACATCTCAAACCCCTTTTTGGCCGTTTCACTCTTTCGTAGCTGACACTCCAGAATAGCCACCTTTTTCTTCAGCTCGTCTGCTTCCTCCTAGGTTAGAGTGGAAAGATTCACTTCTCTCAACCAAACTAAACTAATTGTCAATATTGTACAGAGCAATATGTAATTTGTTAGTAGGCTGATATTTTCTCGAGTAGATCCGTTTTAACACAAAAGGTTTTTGTTTGACTCTGTGATTGGCTACCTTCTTGCTCATTGGTGGATGCTCCACCCTTTGAGTCTTCAGCTCGGCGATTTCAGCCTCCAGCAGGTGGATGACCTCCTCGTAGTCCATCTCCATCCCTCTGGCCTGCTTCTGGGCCTCCTCGACCAGCTGGATCCGGGTCCTCAGAGTCCGACTCTCCTCTGCTCCCACTTTCGCTTCCTGGAGAGAGTACGTGACGAAAGTGGAACATCAAGTCTTTAGGCAAACAGATTTCCCAGTGAACGCTCATCAAGGTTCACAGGTCCACCTTAGCTCATCAATCTGCCTAAATTTCAAATGTTGGTCAGGCTACCAACATTTGAGCATCTTATGGTCATCAGCTTCTTTTACTTAAAACTATGACACAGACAAATTTAAGACAACTTTGTGTTGTTGTGCCTCTGAGTTACTCCTCTGAATGGCAAACTATTCTAGAATGAAATGTGAAAAACCAAACCTTTAACACCTGAACGCAAACGAGAACTTACAGAAGAATGGCTGAAAAAGAAAACAATGAAGATGTTGTAACGGCCTAGTCAAAGTGTTGCTAAAACTGGTGTCAGCACCTGGTGTGTGTTGATCTAATCAAGCTGTAAAAAAAATAACAGCTATTTTTACTATTGTTATTTTACTGGAGTAAAATAACTCCAAGAAAAGGAAATAATAAAGGACACTTTTTAAAGTACAGTCCACAAGTAAACATACTTTTTTGCTGTCCACCATTGACATATTAATGATGTTTATTCTTCTAAATCAAAGAAAAAGTTACATACCTTTATAAAGAGATAAATCCAATATAAATTTTATTTTATTTTTTTTAAAAAGCTTTTCTATTTCAGTAAGCACTGACTAATGAACCAAAAATACCTGGAGGTAAGTAACTCAGTTGGAAAATGTGAAAAGCTTAGTTTGTGTGCTGTGTGTGATTTGTTTTTTATGAGTGAAAGGAAACGGCACACAGCACATGAATTTGGTGACTTAAGCCCTCCTGCAGAGACGTCGTACGCACGCAAGACTAACAGGACACAAGAAGGTAAAAAAAAAGAAGTGATTTCCTTAATAAGGCTTGGAAACACATGGGAAGAGGAAGGCCATCTGTTACTGTTATTGCTCTCAGCATGGCTGCTTATGTTTCTAAACCTCTACAAATTGCTATTCAAAGAAAAAAAAAAAAAAGGATGCTCCCTGTAGCATCCATCTGTCCCTGCGAGGGCACCTCAGGTATGGGGAGTTTCTGAGTCCCAAAAATTTTTTAAAGAACTTTAATCTGGATCACCACTCAGGCCTGAAAACCATTCTCAGGAAGACTAAGATAAGAAAAAAACAGTGTGAAGACTGGTTGGTGTCACCCAACGCATGTTTTTAATTTAGATCCAATTAGGAGCTGCTCCCACCAGATGTCGCTGTGGAGCGTTGTGTACATTAACTTGCATGATAAATGATTTAATGTTGCTTTCAAGCGGTTCAGAAAAATGTCCTTCAGACTCCCAAGGCATAATACTGCAACCATGTTCGCCAGAATGCTGTTTACTGATTTCTCTGTACACCAATATGAAACAAGAAGTCTTATTTCTTAGCGAAAAGATGACTGCATGGAAGATATTTAGACTTTTGTACTGCAGAACACGGGCTTTTACTATGAGTCAACAAGGTTTTCTAAAAAATCACAGCTGAGTCTGAGAGAAAAGTTTCAATGATGGTTTAACTCAACAATCACTTCAACAATCACTTCAACTTGCCCTTGATCTCTTTGAAAATAAATGTCAAACTCGGTGGTCTATCTGTGAATTTGCTTCAGCTTGTTTGTGCTGAATATTCGGTTTCAAAATAAGACGTCAGCTGGAACGCACTGACTCTGTTGGTGTTAAAATTAGACTCTTTCAGCTGGGTTTGTTGTGCTGAGCATCCATTCAGAATGCACTTGAGGTGTGAGGGGGGGTTGTTAGGGTGACTGCAGGAACCCACTGTGACGGTTTGTGGCTCCAGCTGAGGCCTCGAGGGTCCGTGAGAGCTGACCTCCCGCTACAAGGTCAAAATAAGCAGGTCAACACACTAACCCCGCTACTCACTGGGAAAAGGAGAAATTAGGGAAAAAGCTGCAACCGGAACAAAAACAGAATGACAATGGCTCATCATGAATTAGCTCAGATGAAAAGATATGTCTCTTTGTTTAAAAATTTCTTACATCTGGTGACTAACAGAGCAAAATACGATTTTTAGGTTAATTGGTTACTCAAAGTTGACTAAAGGTTGTCTTTTCTGTGAAAGACTAGTGAACTGTCTAATGCAGGGATGTCCAAAGTGTGGCCCTGGGGGACATCTGCAACCCTCTGGATGATTTTGGTTGGCCCCATGGTTGACAATTCAAGAATGGAGCGAATCCATGATTAAGTCGAGATTTTTTACAGACCAATACAATGTAGTTGACAAAGTATGACAAACTATGTCTTTTATTAACAATATTAATTTTTAAATAAAAGACAATGTGTTTTATTTGTTTATACTTTGCTAAAACCAGCAAGAGCCGCTCAACCTTTGTTTCAAAATGTCAAAATAAAGACAAAGGCAAAATTATGACAATAAAGCCCAAAAAACGTCCAGCATCTTGTCCAGGACCCTCCTGTTTTGGGTCAACCATAACTTGAAGATTCCTTTTCTACAAAATTTAGACTACTTACCAAAATATTGTCTGATTAGAATATTATTGGGAAGATAAAAACAACAAATATCTCAAAGAAGCAATCTCTTCACTTTTAATTTTAAAACATGTGGCCCTGGAGTTTTCTTCACTGAATATCGGTCCTGGTTGCAAAACGTTTGGACACCACTGGTTTAATGGACCACCGATGTATATTTAAAAAAAAAGGAGTCAATAATCAAACAAAAAATAAAATAACATGCAATGACGCCAAGAATCTCCTCGTCTCTCCTGCGACCGTCCAACCTACAGATCGGAAACATCCCGCCAGAACCTTCGCTGGCTCCCTACATCTGTCAGCTGCGTCTAAATCTAGATATCGATCCATTTACGCAAAGGTATAGGAGCCGAGAGGCGGCGAAGTGGGAGCGAACGAGGGCGAGACCCTTCAGCTGTGAATCAGAACAAACAAACGAGAGGAGGAACTATTTTAGAGCCCGAAAGACGAGCGAATGGAGGCCTCGCACTCCTCCAGCCGCTGAGTGGGTTCAACTCAACCTCCCACACTCACACACTCTTATGTTCATTGGTGTGCGTGTGTGTGTTTGTGTGTGTGTGTGTGTGTGTGCAGAAGGCTCCACCTGCTCATCTATTTTTACAGAAACACTCAGAGTCATGGAAAATCTAAATTTATCAGAGAGCTCTCCTGTACCGCCTTCAAAACACAAAAATGATGTGATTTCGTTTCATACTGAGTTTGTGTTGCTAGCAGAGGAAAAAAAAAAACAACAGGATGCAGAAATCTCATTTCTACATCCTCAAATATAAAACAAGATGATTTGTGTCCCCGATAAACTAAGGTAGATTTAGCTTAGAAAAACTAAAACTAGGTGATTCTATTTAAAAGCAAATATTTCTTTAAAGTGCAAAAGGTGAGGGAGAAATTAAATATTAGACTGACCTGCTTGACCTTGTTGAGCTCGTCCTCCAGCTCACGGTGAACTCTCTGAGACTCGACAAGCTGCTCCTATTGGAATCAAACAGAACGTGTTTTTGTTGTTTTCTGTTTTTCCCCGCTCCAGAGTCAAACCTAGAAGGTTTCACCACAAACCTCTAACATTTTATCAGACTTTAGTGAGGTCACCTGCAGTGTCTTGATCTCCTTCAGAGCCTCAATGTGCTCCTTCCTCAACTTCTCCATCTCCTCCAGGTCGTCCGAGTCTGACAGTGACGGCTGCAGGAAGGAAGTTTGTGACGTTTTAGATAAATCCCAGAAGTTTTTAGCAGTCTCATCAATTATCTTAAATAGTGTAAAAAAAAACTAGATTTTATTTTACTTTTTAAAGTGACAAAAGCGTAGATAATTTTACTTTGGAAGATGTCTCTTTTGTTTTGAGGATGTCAATGGATTCTTTATTTAAAATAGGTGTAGTATTTTAAACCTAAAATAAACCTGCAGATGTTTTATGTATAAATTTTAGCCCGCAGATCCCAGATTTCACAGGCGGAGCTGTTACCGGTGGGTTGGTGGGAGACTCCAGCAGGCTGGAGAAGTCGTCTGACATGAACCTGGAGCTGGACTGGGTGCCGAACAGTTCCTCCAGCTGAGGCTTGAACAGTTCCCGAATCAGGCTCTCGAAGTCTGCAAGCGCAAATAGAAAGGAAGAATCTCACCTGGTTTCTTAATAACGGCATTAATCTGTTTTTGATAAGTTTTTATGGTGCCAGTTGAATAGGTTTAAATAGTAACAAACTGTTTTGTCTAATGAAGCTCATTTAAGAACAGGTCTCAAGTAAAATTAGTTGTTTTTTTTTGCATTTCACTGTGCATTTTACTACAGAACAGGTTTACTTTGACACATCTGCCTTAACTAGTTCCTAAGAAATCTGTTCCTCTGAGCAACAATATCCCTCCACACTGAATGAGCAACAAAAATAAAAAACCATTCAGTCCAGCAGGGGGAGCTATTGCAAACATGCAAGCTCTTTTTATCTTTTTTCTTTTTTTACAGAAATATGGAGAGATCTGCTTCATCCAAGTAAAACAAGGGCTAACAAACAAATGAAAGCACGCTGAAAGTCAAAGCTTGTTGTTATTTGCATCTCCTCCATGTGAGTGTGAAGTGAAGGATGATGGGAGTTGTTGTCGTACCTGTGAAGGCCACTGTTCCAGAAGGATCGGCTCGTAGTCTGGACCGAAGAGCCTGCCGCTGAGCCTCTGTGGGTTTCAGACCGATTAGATCCAGCGCCTGAAACACACACACACACACACACGGATCAATACCCACAGCTGGAGGTGGTGAAAACATCGATCGGGAGCTACCCTGATGTGCCTCACTCTCATTCTCTTCACATGTTTTTATAGGTTCTACTGTGATCACAGTCTGAGGATTGGGATGTCTAATAATTCTGCAATGACCAAAAAAAACAAAAAAAAAAACCCATAAAACTTTTTTTTCTTTATATTTGAATCAGGCCTGAAACTGACCTGCTCCAGTCGTTCCAGTTTGAATCGACAGCTGGAACTGAGTGAACATTTCCTCTGAGGTGGTTGACTGCTCCCAGAATCTGAAACACAGAAACACAGATTTATGTTCCCTGGTGGAAAAAAATATGTTTTTTCTACCAGCACATTTAAGCATATTTTAAATGTGCTGTACTACATTTTTAGTATGTTGCCAAGAGGATATACTTGTTAAGATTATATAAAAAGAAATGTATGCATGTTTAAAAAACATGCATCTAATACTCTTTTTAAAAAAATGTAATGCACTAAATGTAATGTGATGCCAGGGAGCCGACTCTATTTATCTCTTTATAATGAGATATGGTATTCGCATTTCCTTTCAAGTGTAGCTGCTTTTTTTATTATGCTCATTTTTATAAGCATGTTGTCATGTACTTAGTATATTTATTTTCCTGTCACTGTTAAAGTTTAATCAGTTTTTCACACTTTTACAGAGAGTTCAAATTTGAGGCAAAGCTCAAAATGTCACTCAGAAATAAAGTTTTTGTCAATTGTTGTCTTACATTTTTCACCAAAAATACATTTAATAAAATCTTGATATAAATAGGCTACTTTTTTCAAACAAAATATTGATTTTCATCCTGTATTGAACTATAGTAGACTGACCTGGAGGAAGGAAAAAAGAGCCAGAAAATGATAAAAGAAAAGAAAAAAAAGAAAAAACTTAAAATAAAACTTAATTATGAGACTCAGCATACCTTCAAACGGTGAGTTTATTTTATCTGAATGAATTCACATCGTGACGTCAAAGACGAAAATCGGGATGAACTAACATATGGAGGGAGACCTCAGGATTCCTGGTGGAACTTCACACCTCCGAAGCCAATCGCAGCCCAGACCGCCCGGTCGCATCACTTCCTCCTCCCTCCTTGAACCATCCGCTTCGCTGCGACTGTAAGGCCACAGTTTGAAGGCGCTCAGCTGTTCGCAGTCTGTCTGCGTTGTGATGAGATGACACGCCGTCACCTCACAAGCAGCTCAGCATTTAAATGAAAGGAAGGACGGATAGATGTACGAGCTGGTTGGGTCTGGACCTGCGATGTGTTCACGTCTATCTATGTTCAGAGGGCGTTTGTTCGTGGGCAAGTTGTTTGTCGGCCAACAAAACAAAAAGAAATGAAGCTTTTTGAGCGAAAGGTTTAGGCTTTTGTGAATATTAAGTAGATTTCATCATGAGGTGCAGAGGATGGTTGTTGGTTTCAGGAATTTCACTGAAACCGAGGTTTCAGTTTTACAGCTTGATCTCTCTCTGTCATCATGTGTTTTACAGCTGTTAGAGGAAAAGCAACATGTATCAAACTTCTAGTTATAGATCTGTAAGGATTACTACATGCTGCTGGCTTTGTGACTCTTGTAAAGATGTCCTGAAGAGTTTCTGTGAGGTCAGGTCAGAGTTCTCCTCGTTTCACTGGTTTGAATCTTCATCTGAGCTCGACGGAAACTCACCAGGGTTTGTGTCGTTGCTGCTGTCGCTCTGCGGCACTGAGGAGATTCCCGTCTGCTCCGTTCTGCCTGGAGAGACACGTACCTAAAAACAAACAAAAACAGGTCAAAGGTTGACCAGTTCCCTCCTCGTATCAGACAGAAACATCTAATGAGACACAGCAAGTTAGATAACACATCCGTCTCATGAAGCTCAGACCTGCGTGACGTTGACCGGCGGCAGCGTGTCACAGGCCGGGTTCCTGCTGGAAGTGATCTTGGTCACCACGGTTTGCTGCGAGGCCGTGGAGCCCAACCCGAGGGCCTTTGTCTGGGGTCCGGCTCCAGCGCCACACCCCTGCAGACAGACTGGGCTGTGGGAGCCGCTGCTGGAGCTGGACGACGACCTCCGTCTGATGAAAGCAATCTCTACCGTGGGGTCTGGTCTGCAATGCAAACGGAAGGATGTGTTCAAACACTGTTCCTTAAGCCTCATAGTCATAGAGACGCTCAAAGGTTTTCTGCTGTTTTGCTTTAATCCGCCTTCGGTCTGTCTGGTTTCGCTCGTCTTGGACCTGAGTTTGGTGCGCGTCAGGATGCTCCGGGCCTCCTCGTTCGTCACTCCGATCAGAGACTCCTTGTTGATGGACACCAGCTGGTCTCCCACCTGCAACCGTCCGTCCTGCAGCAGAACCACAGGAATTATCAACACATATTCTGTGCAAAACTGTCCAAAATTAGATCATGCTGATTTTTTTTTAAATAACAGGATATGCCATTTTGTTCACTAGTTTATTAATTAAATCAATCTTACACCTGCAACAACAACATGTATGTATGTAACACTTTATAAGAGTGAGTCTGTAGAGCAACCTGCTGTCCAGTTGGTATGATTACCACAGAAATGTTGTTCTTTTGTCTTTCTCTACCAAAACTGGTCTTCAATCTGGTGCTTTGGTCTCAACTATCCCTTTTTTGAAAGACAATTGTGTCTACAGAGACTTCAGAATGAATTTTATTTGTTGTTTCTGCGGTTTTGTTTATTTATTTTGTATACTGAAAATGTCTTCCAGTTTCAATGTTCGAATGTTCATCATAAATTCAAGTTTATCGATCTTCAGGAATGTGTTCTTATATTATTCTTCCAATATTTCTTTTATATTACAACAATATTATCGTTTATTGCAATAAGTTCTGGGACAATTTATCGTCTAGCAAATTATTCAAAAACAAGGAATCATTCCCTTCTATGCACTACTTGTAAAGAAGGTTGATAGGTGTGGAAACTTCTGCAAGTCACTGTATCAATATTTATGTGACAGAACAGAGTCTCTTTCTCCCAATCTGTGTTTCCATCTCTGGCGATTTTGCTTTGATTATAATAAAGTGACACGGACTCCGACCTTCTGGCAGTCTCCTCCAGGCACTATTTCCTGAATGAACACCATTGGTCCTTCAGCTCGGTTGGCCCCTCCCTTGACGACGAGTCCCAGGCCTGTTCCCTTGGCGACACATATCAACTGAATGACGCTGTCACTGCGGGAAAGAGGAGAAGAGACGACGGGATGACAGAGATTAAACTCGGAGCTCGGAGTCAGCCGGAGCGCCGCCTAATCTTCATCCATCCTCCGCTTCAGAACTGCTGAAGATGCTCTTCGCTATTTTTAGTTTCTGCTGGTGTTTCCGCGCAGCTCAGTCACAGTTGGACAGTTTATGTAACCGGAGACAAACTTTCTGGAAGTGCTGAATGAACGTGAATGTCACTGAACAGACAGCAGAATGAATAAACTAAGAACTCCAGGGATTTGTTCATCTGCTTCCCTTCTGGAAGAAACTCAACGTTTTTCAAAAGTTTACAGCCCAGCTGAAAAATCTTTCTCGAGAAAATATGACGCTCAGAACTATGATGCATATTAACGAACACTGAATTTGCTTTTAAATATCAGCATTCGTCGTAACATTTCTGTAAATTAAGGAACAAACTAACATTTCTGCTCAGCCTCTGTCATCTTTCTCAATTTTCAGCTGCCACATTTGGTGCAACCTGGACATTAGGGGCATGGAAATAAATCACATCCACATCCGCCACCAGAGGGCGGAAGTGGTGGCATAATGGTTTATCAGGCAGTTCCTGAAGCATCCAACAGGTCAGAACAAGTAGTTAAGGTCAGCAAACACAAGGAATGCATCATCAGACAGCATCACGTGAAACAGTAAAGTCCCGCGAGAAAACAGAGAACGCGTAGTTGCAGTCCTGCCGCCACAAAAATTTAAGACGTGTGATTAACGCGTTCACAGCCAACTTATTTCCTGACATTTTAGGATCTTAATTTCAGACACATGAATTGCGAGAATGCCCAGATGCCCTGCGTCGTCCCACCTGAAGGCGAGTGCCGGGGTGTGCACGGTGTAGGCCGGGGTGGTGGTGTAATGCGGAGCGTGGCTGTAGGCGGTGATTCCTTCTTTAGGACTGAGCAGCTGTGGGCTCTCCGACCGGGAGGAAGAGGAGGAGGACGCCGTGTCCGTCAGCTTCCCTGAACGGACACAGAAGAAGCCAGCATGAACACAGGAGCAAAGCAATATTTTAAGAATCGAAGGATGAATGAAAAGTTTCTTTAAAAAAAACAAATAAAAATCAATGTGGGATTTAAAAGCTTGAAGGACACAAATGAGGACATATTTTTGTGAAAAGAATTTTGAAAAAGGAAAAAAAAACTTGTAAGTTTATTGCGGATGAAGAAGCACCAGTTCCATTTGTAAATGATTTCACTGATAGCAAGACATGTTTAATCAATATTGGGATATTATTTACTGAAAACAAGCTCCTATCTCTTGCTGAAAAGTTACTTGTGAATCAGTCTATTTCAAGCATTCTAAGGCTATTTGCACTAGAAACTAGACCAAAAATAATAAATAAGATTTAGCGTTTTTCCAGTGGCGTGGGAAACTTTTCCAAAGAACTCATTTCTGTCAGACTGTAGAAACACTGGCAATGTTGGAAAGATTTGGAGGGTGAAAATGCTCTGACAGAGAAAGGAGCAGAAAAGGAATACTTTTGCATTTCTAAAAAAATTGGGACACTTTTGGCGAAAGAGGAGATCGTCTCAACTGCAGATTCACTGAGACGTGGGACGCCCTTTTTCAGAGAAGAAAACGTTTTTTTGAAATGTTTCACAGGATGTTTCCTCCAGCCATCGGTTCTTCAAGGAACAACTTGAACATCGACCGCAAGGCGAGTCAGCGAGCGATCGTCAGAGAAGCGAAGCCGTGTGATGCGCTTTACCCATGGATAGCTGCGTTGGAGAGATTCTTCCCGACGCCGTGACGTTATTGGAGCCGTACTTCTCCATCAGCTCAGCAAACTCCCTCCTGAAGGACACACAGATGCAATCAAGCTGATGGGATTTCAGCACAGAATGATGTGGATAAACAAGATGTGCAATCCGCTTTTAAAAAAAATAAAATTAATTTTTACAAACATACGCTTCTGATACCTTACACTTTCTAAAGTCTGCTTAGGATTTTTACTAAGTTGCAGATAAATTTAAGCAACTCCTGGTAAAATCTTTCTGGAAATGCAGCAAGAGATGTCAAAATCGGTTGAAACAAACAACATTCATGTCTCTTTCTCTCTCTATTGCTTTCAAAAATGTTTTTTCTGATTCATCTGAAAGCATGAGTGTACAAGACTTCAGCCGCAGCAATGGCTCTGTTTCTAAGGTTTTATCTGATCTGTGAGTGTTTGTCTCCCTCACATGGAGGTCAGCCGGTCTCACAGCATCATCCATCGCTGTCTGATCCGATTGGCTGTTAATGCCTTTTAAAGTGGATCTGCATGGCTGCAGATGAAAAACTCTCAGAGATCAGGAATTACACCCTGATCCCTTCGAACCTCTGAATTCCTGCCAGTTTTCCTTTGTTCCAAACACTTTTTTAGTTTTAGTAAGCATCATTCCTCAAACTAAAGCTGAGATGCTTAGATTTAAAAAGAAAACTATGGTGGGTGAAAACTCTAGAACATTTTCTTGAATTCCCAATTTTCCAAATGTTTTAGTTTTGGTTCTTGTCTGAAAATTTAGTTTTCTTCTGAAAGCTGCTGACATTTGGTTTGGTTTGGTTTGGTTTGTTCGGGTTCAGCCATTGTTGCAGACATTTTCCAAAAAGTTCCACGTTGTGGCTAATCTGCGTTTCCTGTAGAAAAGGAAAGAGGGCAACACACAAAACTGAGATTACCTTGTCTGCTTAAGTTTCTGTTCACAGTTCATTTTGCAGACATAGCAACATGTAATGCTTCATTAATTGGTGCCCTCATCAGCTTAAATCTTCAAAATAAATAAAGAGGATATCAACTCCGTATCTGTCGTGGCCGAAAGTCGTCTGTAATGTTTTCCTGTTTCTAAAGATATGAGTCATAACACAGTATGTCTCAAGCACCTGGATGTTGCCACCTTTCCTTTAGTGTCCTTTCATAAAATAACGTGAAGTGGCTCAACATAGCAGATAAAATTACTTAAATGTAAAACTACATTTGAGAAAATATAGGGAGCAATTTTCCAAAAGACTGTCAATTTCTTTCTCTCTGAAATGTTGTCAATGTTTCCATTTTATGCGCTCTGAGCTCTTTTGTCGACCTGACGGTCTTACGCATCGTTTTCCCCTCGGCGCGGTGAGGACACGCAGTCAAATCCTCACAGCGTGTGATTGCCTCAGGGCGTCCTCACCGCAACCTGCAGATAATCATCATAATTTGTTTTTCAAAGTGTGAAACAAATCGCTGTAACAATGGAGGTCGGGCCGTGGGGCGACTGCGTGACGCGTCGTCGCAAAGCTGCTTCCGCAGCAACACTCTGCCCGCTTTCGTAACAGAGAGGATGGGAGCGAGCAGACAGAGGTGAGACGACCTTCTCTGTGCACACACAACACGCTCTAAGCTACTAAACTTTTTTTTTTTTTTCCTGCTCCATCTGTTCGCCTGCAGAGTGTGACCCTCACTAAGGACACAGACTGTTTCTGCTTAATTTGGGAATGCTGCTGTTGTTTGGGATCAATAAAAGGATTATCTCTCTGTGTTTTACAGCTGAGTGCAGCGCTGAGACTTTACTCACATCAAAAAAACTCCCAAACAGCAGCGGGAAGAAAAACAAGGTTTTTCAGCTTTGTATTAAGATGTTTCTGTCCAGATGCTGCAGATTTTGGTCAATTAAAGGAGAACCTCCAGCAGTCTGGAGTGCATTCTGCATGACTAGTCCCTGCCACCATTTTTTTCTTTTCTTTTTTTGCTGATTGCAGTGAGTAGTTGTGCAGGAGCCCCGTGGTCAGACAGCAGGGCGTCCTTATTGTGTCAGGCTGTGTTTGAGTTGAGGCTAAGAGCTGACGTGGAAAAGCACTTGGGCCATCAGGGGGTCAGATCGGAGAGAACGCCACACATTATTTTTCATGAGCAGACGGAGCTGGAGGAAATAGGAGATGTCCGTGCCGCGAAACATCAGCTGGTGTCGAGTAAACATCCCAGTGGGAAGGAAATTAACTCTCTTTTTTCTCCAGACTGGATGAAGGAGAAAAATTAACTCTTTTTGTTTTGTGTTTTAGGAATTCTCAAATGAACAAACATCTAATAAAGGAGCTGAAACCAAACCAGCCAATATCCTAGCACAATCCTTTCATATTTCTTTTTAATACTCAATGTGCCTGTAGCTTGTTCCACATGCAAAACAGTGATGAACCGATTTACAACAAGCTGACATGTCAGGAAGGGCCACCAGGGGGCATTAATTCAGGTAGGCTATCAGAAGTTGAGTGATAGTGATGTCAAGACGTTGCTTAAGTGTCTAACAATAGATCAGAACATTGAGTGACTTTGACAAGACGTCATAAACTAAAGGCTGGGTTAGCGTTAGCCTGAGTGTTGTGTAATCGTCTGACGTGACTGTCTGATGCCCCGACTTGCTCCGTCTGGGGCTGCTTCGGTTTCCATCTCAAACACCTGCTGTCGAAGCCACGTCAAAGAGATGAATGTTCAACAGTGACGCTAATTCATCTGATCTTTAGCACACACCTAAAAGTAGTCACTGTTCAAACTTTAACGAGATGATTAAACATGTGAATCCGATCTTGTCCACCGATCTTAAATGAAGGTCTAAAAATCGACCACTATTCTCTTCTGCTTTCCCGTGAGAGACGTTTGGAAGATAGACCGGTCCACCAAGTCATGCCTGCATGTTTGCAGTTAACAATAGTCATCTCGCTGTGACCAACTCAGCAACTTTCGTGCCATATTTAGCGACATTTCAGACAAAAATAAAACTGGCATCGGCCAAAATCGCAATTGGCCAGAAAACTCTGGCCCTATCCCTAATCTTAAGATTCAGTCAAACTGTCATATTGACAATTCATCAAACAGGATTAAGATGCACAGCAGAAGCAACTCCTCTAAACTAAAACATAATCAAAAATGAATAAATAAAACCTAGAAAAACTTGTAAAACAAACAAAAAAAACTATAAATTCAATATAAACAAACTGAAATACATTTAAGTAATCCTATTAGTTTAGATTAATACTAACATGAACCATTATATAAATAGAAAAAAAAACTATATTCATTCATTTATTTACTGGTTAAGTGACTGAAAACATCTTTTAAGTAAAATAATCACTGTTTTCTAGAGGATCTGATTGCTTACCTGGATTCGTCATCCCTAGCGACGAGCAGCGACATGTGATTGGAGAGCGAGGCGCTCCTCAGGATCTCCACCGCCCTGCCACACATAAGATATTTAAACACTTGAGTCTTGAATTTGGTGATCTATTTTCTCATTTGGAGGCCCAAGTGGTCAAAAGAGAATGAATGACGACTCTAAACAGTTTGTCTAAAAGAGATCAGCAAACTCTGCCGACTGCTTCATCCAGAACTTTAAATCTGCATGAATAGCATAATATTTTGAGCTTCTTATAATTTGTTTCAACCATTCCTTTCCTCGAGTGCTTATGCAAAGCTTAAAGAGCAACCGGGAGCTGAAATCATTTACTAAATATTAATTTAAATGTTTTTCAGCAGTTTATAGTTAAACCTCCTAGTTTTTGAAGCCGTTAGCAATGTTCTTGTATAACTCTACGTCACTCTACTGGTCAGAAATAGAGGTAGAAATGGAGTGCATTACAAGGGTAGTTCATACATTTTCAATGGGATTTAGGTCAGGGCTTAATTTCAGCCTGCTGTCTATAATCCAAAACCAGTTTGGGATCATTGTCCCATTAAAATATCAAGTTTCAACCCTCGCTCCCGGGCTGTGCTCCACAGGTGAAATTAAGTTGTTTTGGCACAGTCTGGAAGGCATCTGAACACCTGTGTTACTCTTCACACTGAATCCAGTTTAACACAATACTAGACTGGGAGCATCCTGGGCCAACTTGACAAGTTGGCCCAGGACAAGTTGGCCCAAAGCCTAGTTACACACTAGGCTTTGGATAAATCTTGATGGCCAGATGAAACAAATCCAGACAAAGGTTGAGGTTTTCAAACCTCAGAACGCAACACCAACCGGTTAAACATGGCAGTGGCTGCCTCATGCTGTGGGACTGACAGTTCAAACAGAAGATGGATTGCTGAAACGATATCTACGACCATCTCCAAGTTCTTCAACTTCCCTAAAAATCAACACAGCTTCTGGAATGGTCTAACCACAGCTCTGATCTCAAATATATTCAAGATTTGTGAATCATATTGGAAAAAGGGGGACGTATGGATGCAACAAGCTCATTTAAATGACCTCTACGAACAGTGACAGGAAGAGTGATCAAATGTCTAGAATGATGCCTTCTGGATGGATTTAAGAGACATTTAGCCACCATGCGTTTAACCATGTATGATTAATTTTGACCTTCTGTGGATTAAATTCAAACTCACATACTAAGTCTTCTCAACAAACACTAAATTGTAATTTGTAAGTCATTTTTAAAAAACAAAACATTGGAAACAACAAATAAAGTGGATACTGAAGTCTCTGTGAACAAAATTGTCCTTCCAAAACGAGAGTTGATGAGACCAATCACCAGACTGAAGCCTTTTTGTCATCCAGTGTTTATTATAGGTTAGATCCTAGAAACATGTAGAATTCAAGCCCAGTCAAGAGCCGTCATGTGGGGGAACTGTCAGGCAAATCGAGAGGAGAGTCAAACAGCAACAGCTATGGACCAATGAGGGATTCCTCTAAAAGGAACCTCTGTCTTCCTCTCTAGAAGGTTTGGTAACGCTAAGCTGCTCAGGCAGCAGTGAATTAAATCCAGACACAACTCTGAAGTTTAAATCACTGGCATCGGCTCAGGAACACTCAGTTGATAAAGTTGAAGCATGAAAATAATCCAGAAATGCTGCTGCTTACTCTGAGCTAAAAATCACTTAAAGACGGCTATCCCGGTTTGAACCGTGTCAATTGGCTCGCGCCACTCAAACTCAGAGAGCAGTTTTTTAAACTTTGGATCAATGATCAGCATCGGCAACGGCTCAGTCGACCCGTGATTTTCTGAGGTGTTATTCAGACAGTTTCTGTTTAAGCTGCCGGGTGTACCGTTCCCACTCTGCGCCATTGCTTCACTGTCAGAAACGCCACAAAAGGGGTGAGAAGGTGAAGTCATCCAGATTGGATTAGAGGTGTTGCTGTGAATCAGTCGAAGTGAACTGATTTGCCAAAGCAAAGTGGTTTTATGCTTCAGTCACACACACAGAATTTGCACACTCAGCCAATCTCACCTCTCATTGGTCACTCCAATCAGGCTGATGTTATTGACATCCAGAATCAGGTCACCTGACTTAAGCCGACCTAGAGCACACACAGAGAGAGACAGGTGAGTGTGTGTGTGGAGGGGCGCGAGGAAGGGAGGGGGGTAATGATATCTTTTCTGAAATGAGATAAACACTCAGAAAGGATGTTACCGTCCAGAGCAGCCAGGCCGCCAGCGATCACACGCTTGATGTAGATCCCGAAGTCTTCGCCTGTCAGCTCCCTGTAGCCTCCGATTATTTTCACTCCTGTGAAGGAGCGAAAAGAAAAGCTCAGCAGAAGTGAAACTGTACCAATGTCACACACTGGTCAATGGGAGGCGGAGAAAGCAGGGGTGCGAGTGCTCACCGAGTCCTTTCTTGCAGTCGGAGAACTCCAGCCTCTGGACAGCTCGGTTGATGCCATGGGGGCCCATGATCGTCCTGGAGACAAACAGAAAGCTGATGGGCTCAAAAACATCTCAACTTGGTGCCTCGAGCAAAGCCTCTGCGTGTCCTCAGAGCCCCACTGCACAAAATAATCAAATCATCACAGGATTTTGTTATTGTCTTCCTCGCTCTCCTCTTACCTCCCGCCCCACCTCCCTCTTCCTGCCCGCCACGCACAACCAATAATATCTGTCTCCTCCCAAACAACACAGCAGCTGAACCACAAGTGACCTGGATGTTCAAAGGCTCCAGCAGTCAACAACAATGACTCGGGATAATCGGAGGAACAAGAGATATCAGTTGTTAGATCCCAGACGGTCTTCACGAAGACATCCGAGGGTGAGGAGGTTTAAGGCTTAGGCAGCAGAGGCTCCTGTTGGTGCGGCTGTCTGTTGGTTCTGTCCTCGTTGCTCAGGCTCAAGCTCAGCGCCGCAGTACGCTGTCAGCCTGAGCGTCATTCAGATGTTTTCAGCTGGTTCTGTGACGGCTGCAGAAAGCCAGCGCGAATGCACCAAGCGGGGTTTTCAGACTTTTTGAGGCTTTAAGCTTAGTTACGGCTCTGACTCAGGGATGTTCCACATGAGCCTGTCAGAGCAGTGGCTACGTCAGGTTGATCTTACCCTGAAGTGGCTCAGCTGTTCATTATTAATGCAACACAAAAGAGATGGGGGGGCGGGAGGGGTCTTGAGGCGAGAAAAATGTGTTCCAGTTGTGGTAGGAACTGGAAAATCAACTGAAACCTCTGAAGTCGGATTTCTCAGTGGAAAAGGGGGAGCCGCTTTGACTACTCCCAGTAGTATCTCATATCAACGGTCGTAAGACAAAGAGGAAACATGCTTACTTTACAGGATACACATGTAAAAGCATGTTTAAAGTCAGTGTTATAAAAGGCTGAAATTCTCAACTGGAACGCATCCTGCAGGTCTGACGTCAAACCCACATCTGAGTTATGACTTCCTAACTAGAACACAGTAACTTCTCACAGTGAGGACTTTTTCACCAAAGTGTCTCTATGGTTGACAATAGTTTTTACTATTCAGATCCTGTCCGGTACCATAAAAGATTATGTGGTTTTCTACAACCTGAAAGCGACGTCAAAGTTGACGTTATGTCACTTTAAATATCTCATTCAGAAAATGTTTTATCCTGTTTTATACAGAGGTGGTCGAAGTAGTCTTTAAGTTTTATCATGACATTTTGTGGTACTATCGCCATATTGACAATAAGAACTATTTATTACATCTTTTTTAGGTTACCATATGTTACAGACTGCCAAAAAAAAAAAAGAATTGATCTCTTTTCCTTATGCTTATCTTCTTTAGAACACCAATCTCATAAAGAAGTGTATCACTAACTGCACACGGTAACTGTATTTATCGCCTTCTCGGTTTTCAGTGATGCTTCTGTTGAACAAACAGTGGGGGAAATACTTTTGATCCCGACAACAATGACAGCTATGGGGAGGTTTAAAGGTCATTAATTGGACAATAGATCAAAATTTGTGTCATGATAACAAATGTATCACAATAAATGATAAAACGATACGATAAATGCACACCCCTAGTTTTATATAGAGATTTTGTTGGTATCACAACAAAATACATGATTTATCATGTTAATCCAGTAGCAATCTGACTTCTTATGAATGCATACGCCACTAAAGACTCCCGAGTTTTGCTTGTAGAGAGGAACCCAACCAAGTAACAGAAAAATCCTGCTAGCATTCCTTGAGCTGTTTTACATACCGTAAGATCAAATCAATTGCTATAAATGCAATTCATCCCGCTGATGATTTGGACTCCAAAATAATAACAGTGAACACATGGGCAGAAGAAACAAGTTCAATACCCATTTTTACTGTTAAAGAAAAAAATCATGTTGCACAAAAACAGCCTTGACTTAAGTTCTTTCACTCTCTGAGTCATAAAACCACCAACCGCTTCATTGCGGTTCTACATAGCTTTAGGGTTTACCTGAGGCTAATTACATGACTATTTCTCCAGCTGTAAGGTTTTTAACTGAGTTTTTGCTTTTCCCTGAGCAGGACAATGTTTGGTAAGAATGTTTGGGATGATCCCTCTCAATAAATACTGTCAATACGGAGCTGAGGGGGCTCCTTAGAGTTGCTCCGATTCTCTGTCAATACTTGCTGCTTTGAAAGGGAAGCAGCGCAGCTATCAGGACCGGCGTGCATGTATTAAATGTTATGAAAGGGATTATGGGAATTGAAGTCAGGGTCACTTTGATCTGTTTGAAGAGGCTTAATTAGGAATAATAACATGATCCATTTCAACGAGCAGCCGGTAGCCATATTTACTGCAGAAATAGTCTTACACTCAAAGCATATAGATTGGTTTTCACCTTTGAGAAACGTCTCATCAATCTTTCTGTCATAACCCAGCAGTACACACAAAATAGTTCCACAACATCAACTATTATTATGTTGGTATCCTCGGTAAAGACTAGTTTGAATGCATGGAGCAAAACAGTCTGGAAATTTGAGCGCGGAGAGCCTGCAGCCGCGCTAACAGGCTGATAACAACAAACTAATCTGCTTGAGCTTCTTCAGTAATGTTTCTGCAGATCAGAGTGTCAACAATATGAGTCACAACTGAGGCTGCAGTTCTGCACGCGTCAGAAGAAACAAATGTTAACATCAGGAAGAGGCTGGAGATCTTCCATGAGTTCATACAAAACAAAAAGTGTTCATTTCCATCCATCCATTAATCCTCACCAGAGCACTGTCTGCATCTCTATCATATATCAACAATGAAAATATTTACGAAGCATTTTGTTTATACAGTTCATGTAGTAAATAACTTTGTATAAATTTTCTCACCTTTTTAATGAGTGTGTGTGACTTCTTAAACTTCTCCTTATGTTGGCCAGACAAATTAGAGAACAATGGCACCTGTTTCTTTTTTCCTCCTGAAAGGCCATTAGTCAATTAACTACATGAATAAAGACAATCAGAAAACAGACGACCTGGATTTAAATGGTTTAGAGGCTCATTAGTGCCACAGGCAACCAGACCTGATTAAAAGGATAAGACCCAGTCTTGGATTTTGTGAACTTGTGCCGGACAGATTCCTTTGATCCCCGTGAAACTCTGAATAAAAATCTCTCATTTCATCTTCTTCTGCCTCCAGTTCCACATGGACCATGACACCGATATGTTTTTTTTTTTTTGCCACCACGTAAATTAAACAAGTCTTCCAGCGTGGGAAAAAAAGTCCAGGGCAACAGCAGTTCCCTGTAGATCAAAACCAATCCACGACAGTTTCCAACACGCAGCGAAGCCAGCCGCTAGGACACGAAGCAGCAATTAAACTGATCACTTAATACCTGATGATCTGCATTACCTGTCGCTCATCATTACCATCACACGCCGGCTGGCTGCCAGGGCGACACTTTGCAGCACGGTAGCAGAGTCACACAGGGTGAAGGGAAGACAGGCACGGATTACGCTGGAGTTTAGATTAAAGACATATGAGCATTTGACGTCACAAAGCAATGTCATTTTTTAAATGCATTTATATACAAAGATATCAGAACACGTTTAAACTACACATTTAATCGAAATAAACTGACTTTGTAATTGAACATTTATCCTCTTGTTCTGAATTAAACAATAGTGCTGATTTTTTTACTCGTTGGATTATTTTACTTTAGTTTATGGCCATAAACTGACAACCGGAATGGTTCCATCAGCTATAGCAGGTCATCCGAGTCCTGAATCAGCCACAAACCATCATAATAGCATCATTACACTTTACTCTAGGTCCAATTACTTGCCTTTGAAACATTGTTAGTTTTATGAAAATATTCCATATTTGTCTCATCAGTGGATAAAGGGTTTTTGAAAGGTCTTGTGGATCTAAGAGCAGTGTGCCATGTTTTTGCCTTTTTTGCTCAATAGTACTTTTGACCTTGGATTTCCCCTGTGGATTCCAGTTTTGCCCAATCTGAATGATAAGCACTGGCCTCAGTGGAGATTTGGAAACTTTAGCTGTTATTCTTTGGGTTCCTGTGTGGCCTCCTGGATGAGCCATTGATACACTGTCTAAATAATCTTGGTAGATCCAACCAACCGACTAATACCCCAAAAACTTAAAGTTAGCAGTGAGAATACAAGCAGTCAACTTTTGCACAAACAAACCACGAACCCGGGCAACGTCTCAGAGGAAACTTTCTCATGTTTTTTAGTTGAATTGTGGACTTAAGATTTAAACTTAACTGACCCTCTACCAAATGCCAAAGGTTGTGGATTATAAACCAAATTTAAGGAGACTAGCTGTTGTTTAAGTCAGAGACGCAGCAGAGGTCAAGTGAAGTTGACTCTGCTTGTGACTGACATCACAAGACACCCTGAGAAAAGTTATGCAAAACTCCAAAAATATATTTCCTTTTTTTTGTTCCTACCAGAAAAATAACCACCAATCTAAAAATATTCAGTTCATAACTGTCTGTTTTTTTTTTGTACAGGGATGCACCGTCTGAGGATTACTCTTTGCTGTTTGCATATTTAATCTCCTCCTGTCTGCTTCTGCCGTATGTTGAAGTGTTGAATAAAAACAGGAGGCGAGGGGACTAAAAAAAGATGAGTCTGTGTGCAGCCTGATCCAGAGGGGCCATCAGAGGCCACACAGGAAGCTGGGAGCTAATCTCTGCTCCTTGCATTACCTCTGACCATTCCTCCACCATGTTGCATTAACTCTGTCCTCCTGAGAAAGTCCTCAGTCTCTTTGGTCACCCCCCCATCCCTGCTTTCAGTTACAATTAATGTCCAACACAACATGTTTGGTTATGCTTTGAAAAACCAGAAAATTTAGATGTTTGAGCATTTCTTTTGGAGCCATGTTCATATTTTGAACATTTGTCAACTAAAAAAATAATCTGGAAATATTCTCCAACTCTTTTAAGTTGAATCTCAATGGACTGAACCCTGGGACAGATTGCGATATCCAATTCAGCTTTGTCTTGACCAATTCCTGCTGAAAAAATTAACTTATAAAATATTTTAGCGATATCCTTTTGCAGAGCTGGGCAAAAACTGTAAGGGGCCCTGGGCAGAATTTAATTTGGTGCCCCCATCTGAGTTTTTCTTATGATCCAAATAAAATGCAGTTGTGACAAAAATGTTATATTTCCTATTCTAATTTTGGTGTCCAAACAAGAGTTTGAAGGTACGTTTGGTACAGTCTTGACACATATACCAATTGTCATGTATTTGTTTTTGTTTGTTTGTTTTTTTTAATGATACATGCAGCAGAAATGATTAAACAAGTGAACATAAAAACAGCAATAAAACAGAATTGCACGATATATCTTCAAAGAACTGCTTGGATGCAATGTTTGCTAGTAAATTAAATCCTTGTGAACACAAACAGTTAACAAAGATGTTAATTGATGACACATCATAGATTGATCACATCTGATATTGAGGTCAGTGGTCAAGATAATATGCTAGGAGAGTGGTGGGCTCATTGTACAGTCAAAAAAATTCTAATATTATGCAATATTTTTTGTGATAACAACTTGAATATTTGTTGTTTCGAAAGTCCATTTTTTATTATTATTTTATATGTAACTTCAGATATGAACACTTTAGATCTATATTCACTTTAGATCATGAATTTCTATTCATGAGTTTCTTCTTGCATCAAGCATAGATTATATTTTGCTCAACTTTGTGCTTTTGTCACAGGGAAAAACAGCAAATTGTAATTTTCCAGCTGTTGTGATTGCAGAAGACCTGTGCCGTCCTCCAGTCACAGCCATACAAACTCAGCTGTGGTCAAATTAAGTAGCAATTTTGGCTCATTTGGTTTTAGGTTTGTGCAGTGAATTTCCTCTGACATCTTTTTAATAGTTGATAGTGAAAAAACAGTGACTCTCAAGAAAATGCTTTATTATTACAATTTCTCCAATCTCAGAGTGAGGGAAAGAAGGATGAGGGTCAGGGTTGGGAAAAAGCCCTCTGAAATTTAGTCAGTGCAATATGTAGTGCAGGAGCATGAAAACAGATGTTAGCAAAAGACCGAATATCACTCATTTTGATTCATTCTGGTATTCCTTTTAGAGCAAAAGAGCCTATTTATATTTTTAGTCGGGTGCACATTATTCCAGCAATTTTTGAAATAATATAAAGCTGATTTTTGCACTTTTACTAGTTAAGTGAAAAAAAACAAAAAACAAAAAAAAAACAATCAAGTGCATTATACTTGGAGGAATATGACAAAGGACAAACAGTTAAATTAAGGTCAGACCTCTTAAACAGTGATTTATTTTTTATTAATATTATTTTGTATCATTATTATTTAATTTCTATGTTAATTAACCAGGATGACCCTGTGCAAGAGCCTCTTGGTCAAAATGCAGAAGCTCAAAACCTTTACAAAAAAACAAAAATGAAAAAGCTTTATTGCCTCCCTCAACTTGTGCTTCCATTTCAATATGTATTGGTTTGCATTTCAATGTTCTCACATACATCTGGGAGCCAAATATCCCCCACAGCAGGAAGGAGGCAGACCAGCATTAATCTCAAGGAGCAGCAAATTAAAGCTGACATGCTTTATATCCGGTCGCTTCATTCCGCTGTTTACAACAATAACACCCCCCCCCCCCCCCCCCCCCACACACACACACACAACCGAAGAAGAAACTGGTACTCTAAAATCTCTCGCAGAAAGACACGACGGAGGTCGCGACACGCGGCCGTCCTTTAAAACGTGCGTGACCCAGAACCAAGAACCGGAACCGCGCTCGAGCGTGTGGACTTAAAACCGCCAGGCATCTGTCGCCAAAACAGCCTGCGACTCTGAGCGGAGTGACCCACATGGAGCAGGAGCGAACACAACAAGAGCCGGCAGACCCCCCCACCCCTCCACCCAACTCCAACTCCACCACCACCACCATTACTGCTCTCAACCGAATGCCGAAGAGAAAAGGCGGGAAGGACGGAGAAAAGGAGGCGAGGAACAGGTGACAGGGAACGACGAAGGAAGAAACTCAAACTCACCAGTAAAGTAGAGACAACCCATCGAGGCGCTCAGGTTCCTGCGGGAGGAATGGCATCGCACGCCGGAGTGTGAGAGACCGAAAATATGTCCGCGCACATAAAAAACAAAAAAACAAACAAACAAAAAAATGTAAATACACAACACGCTCTGCTTCACACACGGAGAGACACACACGCGCGCGTGAGGCTGAGAGGAGGAGACGAATGAGAGGCGGCGGCGGTTCAAATCGGGTCGGTGCGCCGAGCGGAGCTGAGCGGAGCGAACAGGGATGGAAATCCGCCACGACAGAGAGAGACGCGCTTACCTTTCCCTCTAATCCACCCTGATACCCGCCCGTCACATATACGGCCCGCGCACGCGCCGCGCCCCGCGTGCGGCGGACGCGGTGCGCAGCAGAAAAGCAGCAGGAGCGCGAGGAGCTTAAACGTGTGTTTTTTTGCCTCAGCGGCAAAAACTCCGGGCTTTCTTTTGTCTCCCACACATTACGCACTGTGAGCCCCGCTGACCATCACCGATGGGATTAACCAGGAGAAGATGAAGCCGAAATCCGGCTCCTAATGTCAGGAGTCGTCTAATTATTAGATTATGGCTGCTTTTATAAACATCCACAGCAAACCCGTGACTTCCTGTGAAGGAGCCAGATGCTGCTGAACGGAAATGAAGAGGATCTGCAACTGGATTTGAATCCATTAAAGGGCATGCCTATAAGATGCATTTAGTACTTAAAGTACATTTATTATTTATGAGGGAGGGTGTTTATTTGACAAGTGTTCAAAATAACACTTTATTTTAAACAATAAAATGAAGTACAAAGTTTGAAGACATATCATGTGTATGTTATATCATTGTTTACATTGTTTAAACAAAACAATGGTGCACCAGGATTCTCATAGCATCATAATATACTTGCTAGGTGTATTCATAATGTTTCAAATAGGAAATTACAAAACAAAAAATTTACTGGTAACTCTTCCAGTCTGGTCATTCAGCAGCTGTCAGATTGTAATCACAGTTTAAATTGCCAGATTCTCAAGTTGTTGGTGGTGCTGCCCCCAGGCTCCATTTATTATACTTGGGGATCTCCAGGTAAAACCCCCAAGTGCTGTTCTGTCCTGCAGGCTGTAGTTGCAACTCCAGTCCCACAAACGCGTTAGAGCAAAACATGAACTCTCTGGTGAAATCAAGTCTTTCTGAACTAACGGCTGCTAAGCCAGGCGGGAGGTCATCTGCGTTCTTATCGTCAATATGACACGTTTAGTAGGTTTAATCAGGTTTGGATACTTGAGAATCAGCTTTACATCACCAACAGAATATGTTTATTCTTTTCAATCCTCCTGCCAGATGACTCAACTCATACATTGGCAATTTTTGTGTTGTCAAACTTCTTCAAATCTTAGGACATGATCACCCAATCTGATTTCCTAATCCCGTGTCAGTCAAAGTTTGACAGGTCAGCGATGACGGCGTAGAGATTTCAGCACCCTGGAATACTACAGGAACTGTGATTCAAAAAACACATGAGCTGAAAAAAAGAAAAAAACCTCCAGATTTGGTTATTATTATTATTAACAATATTCTTTTAGGTACTTTACTTTGATGGACACAGATTACCGCAAACCAAGTAAAAAGAAAACAATGACCCAAAGAATGTGTGTTTTGATGAGGCTGCTCAGATTCAAAGTAAGTGACTATTTAACGTGTTTTTCATGAGGCCCTGAATTAAAAACATTTGAAACATTTCAACTTAAAAAGTCTTGTTTCCATTAGTATGAAGTGGAAATGTGTTGTGGCGAACAAAAACAAAGGCGTCACAACAACAGTCTGCATGTGACTGCAGTGGTTTTCACTCACTGAATTCAGCAACTTCATAAAAATATTCAGATTTATTAAGTATAACTGCAGTTGTGGTGTGGTGTGAAAAAGAAAAGAAAAATGTCTCCAAGCTACAATAATTCTGACAACCATGGAGTTTTACCGTATAAAGTCAGATTAGAATGAAAATAATCACAAAATCAAACTGTTGTGTTATTTTGTTGAAACCAGAGATTTGATCAGATCATAAAGTTTCAGATTGTACGGAAGGATCAGCTCAAGAGTTATAATGTCTAACAGGAATCTGTGCCAGAAAAAAGGTTTTTTTTTTTTTGTTTTTTTTACTCTTTTGTGAAATATATTACAAAATGTTTGGGGTTTTTTTCCCCCTCTGGCCGCGTCCGTCACTTTTTACTTCTCAAAACGCAACCGGGCAACCTGACAGGAACATCTTCCCCCCACCCCTCCCAGTAGAAACTATAAATACACCAGTGAAGGTCATTCATCCATCCATATCTTCCTGCAGCTCTTTATGAATGAAACAGTTCTACTGGTGAGTAGTGGATTAATCTAATCTCCTCTAATTCTCTGCTTTCAGAGTGGAAACAAACACAGTTTAAATTTACCGGGCTGTGCGGGCCGACTTGTGTTTTTACCATAAATGAGTTAGAAAGCAAAATGCGCTCATAGTGATTTATAAGAAAAATAATACTTATTTATTTATGATTTATTTTAAAAAAATTAAAATGTTATATTTTTCTTAATATATATAATGTATATATTTCACTTTTTTGCTGTTGACATTATAATTATGACTGTCTGATTGAAAATGTTTTTAATGTAATCCTTTAATGTATAAAGTAATATTACAGTCTTTGCTGTATAACATTATAATTAAGAGAATCACATTTCCACTTTTAGATATTTAAAATGTCTTTTTTCCCTTTAAATGCTCCAGCAATGTTTAATAATTTATTCTGTCACACAAGTAAACGTTCATCATGTCTCAAAGGAAAAAAGGAAGGACTTTACAAGAGGAAGTTGAAGACTCCAAGTTTCAAAACTTTCTATTGTTTGTTCATTCGGGTTGTTACTTTATCACGAAAGTCATGTGCGGGTTTTTCAGTGGCGTGCCATAATTTTCTCCCCCCTTCTTATTCTCTTCTCCACAGTTTAATGTTATTTTGAGAAATGGCCCCACAACCAAACTTCACCACAGTTTCAACTCCTGTCCCTGGGGGTGGCGGATGCCCGCCTGTCGGCATCCAGCTGGAGGGCCTCATCATGCCTCCGGTCCTCATCATCGACGTCGTACTGGGGCTCATCGGAAACCTGGTGGCGCTGTGGATCTTCTGGTTTAAGTCGAAGGCCTGGAACCCCAACACCCTGTTCCTCTTCAACCTGGTCATCGCTGACTTTTTTGCCCTGGTGAGTCTGCCCCTGAGGATTGATGCCCTGCTCAGGGGCCACTGGGTGTTTGGAGATGGCATGTGCCGGATCAACCTATTCCTGATGTTCTCCAACCGATCGGCCAGCATCGCCCTCATGACCGTGGTGGCAATTTATCGATACTTCAAGGTGAGGAAAACCGTGAATTTTGAGAGGTCAAAGGTTATTTCTGTATGGGTCTACCGATTGGTGTGTCTTTCAAGAATGACTCCTTCTTCTACCCCCAACATCACCTACTATTTTCTACCTTTTTTTGCCAGACTAGTCAGGAGTATTTACAAACACATGGCAAAACTGCTCTTAAAGAAGCAGAGGCCCAATTTCAAGGCATTAAATTACAAAGTAAATTTTTTAAAAGTAATTTTAGGTATGTATTGCATTTTTATGAACAACCAAAGCTAACATAGTTGCTTAACTGTGCTATAAAATAGCTCATAAAGGTGCCATTTTATAACACTGACCCACTTATTGAATTTCCACCTTGCTTCAAATACACAAAGCATCAGATACAGATGTATTATGTTGAGTAAAATCTAGTTTCCTGCTCATGTTCAAAAACTCTTTCTTATGACTTTAAACACTCTGCAGCATCACATCTGCTGCCAGGCTGAAAAAAAAAAAAAAAGATATGAAATTAGCTAAAAAGAGAGCTACACTGAATCATTGAAAGTAAAGCGCCTAATTTCTGGATTCTTGCTCCAGGTGGTCCACCCTCATCATCGCTTCAACCGCATGACCAAGCGGCAGGCTGCATTTGTCTCAGCATTCGTCTGGCTGTTGGTCATCAGTCCTCGGGTTCCCATGCTGGCGTACAACCACATCAAGGGTAAAGGCGAGAAGACCCAGTGCTTCTTCTTTACATCCTACAAAGAGGCATCCCACGCCATTATCGTCCTGGTGGGCATGCACCGTATTTTGACGGTGGTGGAGTTCGTCATCCCCATGGCCATGCTGCTGTTCTGCTCCATCCGAATCTCCAGCTTCCTGAAGCAGAGGCAGATGGGAAAACCTGACAAGGTGCGCAAGGCCATGAGAATGTGTGCCGCCATCGTGGCTGTGTTCATCGTGTGCTTCCTCCCCACCACGGTGACCACGATCGGTGTGTGGGTCATCCGCTCCTACCGGCCATGGGACTGCGCCGCTTTCTACACCTTTACTCAACTCACTATCGTGTCGTTGGGCCTAAACTTTCTGAATTCGGCTCTGGACCCTATCGTCTACATCTTCTCCAGCTCTATGTTCAGGAAGGCGCTCTTGGGACTCGTACCCTGTAGAAAGAATGAAGGCCAGAACACGGAGTCTTCATCGGGAACCCAAAGCACCGCCCAGCAGGAGCTCAAGTCCTTGAGGACTGACAGAGGCAATGAAGCCATTTAATGAGCAAGACCCCAGTTGTAGTGACAGAACAATAGCTTTGATCTTATGTAGCTAAACCTAGTGATAAATTAAATCATGCAAAGGTTCTTCTACAAACAGCTTTATGCAGTTTGACAATCAACTCAATGTTTTTTTTCATAAATACCACATTGACTAACAAATATTAGGCTGAAGCTACATAGCCCAAGCTTAGCTTTTCCCCAATTTATTGTGATGCTGAGTGCTGAGGTTAGTACACCAGCTTAAGGACCTGGGATTTGGAGCATGTGAGGCATTTTTTGACACAAGAATTGACATCCTAAAATGTTAACATCCTGGCAAATAAAAATCTCCATCGGGGACAGTCAGGTGGATCACAGAGAAAGCTGTTCAACAAGTAAATGGACCTTAGGAAGATGACGTGTGCCAAGGTTGCTGAACATGCCATTGCATGCCAATGCCTGCTGTGAAGGTCTACTATTACTTCAAGGAGAGAGATGACCTCTCAGACACAATGAGTGGTTGTTGTTCTTTAAAGAGAAATACCAGGAATTGATGCACTGCTGTGCATCAGTTTATGGTCCACGCTGTGTAAAAAAGGAAGTTACTCAAGAAGGAGCTGTGTGGCAGTCGATGACGTACCAGGGTTTCCATGAACACAGTGGTTTGGCCTCACAATCAGTCCCAAAGTGCTGTCATCAAATCTCTGCTGCCATTGTTGCGAGAGCATTTGGCCAAATAACACACATGAGGAGCCAACAAGAACTGTCACAACTCCATGATGCCACTTAGAAATAACCCATAACTCTGTTTTTCTTTGTGCACGGGTCCCTTTTGAAACTTTGTTATTTTGAAATATATTTTGTCTTTTGTAAATTTCCCACAATATATCTTGTATTTTTTTGTTGCGTACAATCATGAAGGACAAAAAAAGTTATTAAATTCTTTTGTAATGTATTGTACTTGTCAGTTGTTTATTACTCAGTTACTGTGGAGCCACTCACGACATGCACATTAATAAAATGAAGGTAATGAAGGTTGAATTGATGTATAGCTAACTGAATTGTCCAAAAAGGAAAAAAGGAAAAATCCAAGCACACATTCTGACACATTCATTCTATGGCAGGTATTAAATGGTTAAACGAAGTTAAATAAGTCCACAAAACACCATCACAAAGTTTAAATTACAGAGATCTGCATCTGCTCACTCAATCATGCTGACAAATAGAGCAGTGACATCTAGTGGATGAGATGAGTGTGACAGTTGAAGCTTTTTGATTTTGCAGGAGTTGCTGGAACAAATGTGTTCAAGTATTTTTGAGATATCTTGGCGACAACAAAGAGACACTAGGCTCTGAATATTTTACTTGAGATTGGGTTGAACATCTACAGCAAAAGTTCAAATATATCGTTGCAATTGCAACTGACTTATAATACTTTACACAATCGCAATTAACGACAGTGTGCTGATTACACATATCGTTTGTTGTTGTTGACTAAGGTAATCTTTCAACAGGGATTTGTTCTGACTTTCTTAAACTATGTCTAAGGTTATGCTCTGAAGTAGGGAAAGTAGTGATGTTGCAGCGAAGAAAGACAGATATGAAGGTTGATCATGAAAAGCCTCAGAAAATATAAAGAGTCACACTAACACGGCAGGTTCAGATTCACTCAGTGTGTGTCCAACAGGCTCTAAGAGTTTTTGTTGGAAAATGGGAATCATAAATTAGTATGATGCTAAACTACTAATTTAGCATCATACTAAATTAGTAGTATGATGCTAAATTTGAACTTAGTATGATGCTAAACTAATAAACATGCATGATATGTGTAAATTATACCCTCCATCACCACAGTCCTCCTGGATGGCTCTAATGAGATAATGTGCATGAGCTGCTTTTATAGAAAAAGAAAAATAACTCAGTAAGTGTGTGACCAATTAGGAATGTATGCCAATAAGTTCACATTTTACTTGGATCTATTTGCTCAGATGGAATTTCAAAGCCAGGCGTAATGGCAAATTAAGATTTCTTGGTAATTCTTTATAAATTTGATGAGTATTTATTATAGGCGCTTACATTTTAGCACTGACATGTCTGCAAACTTCGGGTGTTTTACTTTTTACAGCTGTGGGGTTCTGTTTGCATCCAGCTTCATCTTCACTCAACAATAACTGCACATGCACTAAGACTTTTTAAAACATTTTTTATGTCCAATTTTAACTAAAACAACAAACTCAACATTTAATAATTACAATGGAATAATTTCACTTCATTCTACACAGGCAGCGACACTGAAAGGTTTTATTTTAGGCTGTAATGACACAATGTTTGAGGATAAATGAGCAGTTTTTTCACATCTGGACTACATATAGAATGTTAAAAGAATTATCAGATAACATGATCCTATTTCTTCAGTAAACATTATTTAGCTCACGAATCAAAGTAGTTTTACTGAGAGAAACAGAAGAAATTCTGACAGGTGGAATAGCGACATCTGATGGATGAATGGGGATACTGCAGCTTTTTAAACCTATTGGAGTTGCTGATTCAGGGGATCTGAACTCCTTCTGAGTTCAATGCCTGAGTGGGACAATTCTGAGCTGCCTCACACCATTTCTCCAGTATTTGTTGGAGCTTCTGTTATCTCATCCTGTGGAATCGCTGGAAATCCCTTTCTGGGTTCATGGAAACTTCTGATGACGCTCAAATCCCGTCCCAGTTCACTGCACTGGACGGATCTTCATGCTGATGGCCTTCAGGGAGTAGCCCCTGCCCTTCCAGGAAATCCACTCCACTCCGATGGCATAGAGAGTGCTGTCGGCCCCCCAGAGGTACACGCCGTTTGGGTTCGCACTGTGACAATCGGAGTACCAGAACCCTGCAAGGAACGATCGGGCGCAGTTGTTCTCCCAGGTGTCCTGATCTTTGTCGAATGTCGAGAACTTCTGTCCACTGATGTGACTCAGAGAGTCTCCTGAAGAAACAGAAAGTCACATACACTTGCAGCACATTATTTTCTTAAATTACAAAGTATCTTGCAAAAATGTTTGTTTCGTGGTAAAACAAAAGAGAACATGATGTACGTTTGGGAATACTCTCCTGATAAGGCAATTATGAATCCAAGCAAATAAAAAGTTGTTTAGCCAGCATGTTTTATTTATTTCCTTTACTAAATAAATGGTAAAATATTAAAGTTGTTGATAGATAAATAAAGTGCCAGACTTTTCTCTGTCTCTACTCACTTGCCCCTCCATCAGTGAATCCAGTCAGGTGAAGTCTGTAGCCATCAGACTCTAGTGATGGGGATTCAAAATGCGTACAATTACAGTCGTATTTCAACAGATGACTTTGAGTTGAACTCCAGAGGAAGCGTTTGAAACTTCTAAAAGAACGAAAACCCAAAAATAAATTAAACAGCATAAAGAAACAATCCCTACCGTCCACTTTCCTTGCAGAGAATCCATGTCGCAGTAAACCTGCAGACACAAACAAAGCAGCTGATTGAACCGGCATACTGATGCAGCTGCATATTGAGCCGCTTGTTGTTGGTTTTTCACAAGGAACAAAATTAAACAAAGCCCGATCGACCTTCTTCTGGACTCTTGAACCAAAGCTGTAAAAACAATGAGCCTCATTATGTATGAATCGGCATCAGAGCTCATAGATTCATAAGGCAATTATGAATCCAAGCAAATTCATAATTGCTTGGATTATGAATTTGATTTATGATCATTCTTTTTCCAGGGAAGGAGCGATTATACAACGTAGCACTACAAAGAATTTAATAAGAATTGATGCAGCTGCATATTGAGCCGCTTGTTGATTTTTTTTTTAAATCAGGGTTGTTATAAAAAATAAAAAAAACATATTAAATTATCTATCAATGTTGAGTGAACATGTGAACTTTAACTCCAGGCATTAAGAATCAGAATGTGATTATTAATTACTGACGTTCCAGGAGGTTTGCGCGTACCTGGACTGCCGATGTGGTTCCGATGGGATAGATGGTGTAAACTCCACTGGATCGGCTGGTGTCTTGGTTGTAGACGTCATTGCAATCCATTGGGAGGCTGAGATCTGAGCAGATGGTCACCATGGGAAGCAGGAGGAGAATAAACAGCTGCAGCAGAGGAACAATTTATTCACGACAAGTCTGCAGAGTTAGAACTTTTCTCAAGTCAAGCAAATGAGGAACATTCAAGGGTCCAGCCTTAACATCATAAACTCACCTTAATGGTCATTGCTCTTCTGTAAGGATCCAACATCTGATATCTGTCAGGTGGAGTTCTGCAACAGCAGAGCCTCACCTGCTTTTATAACCAGCACAATGAGTTACTAATTCATGAAAGTCCCCTGGATGATTGCAACGTTAACAAGAAACCACTATTTGGAAATAAGAGGTTTTCTTTCAAATGTGTTGCGCAATTGACCTGGTAAAGTCACAGCAATACACCTCGCTACTTCTCCTTTTTTATTATATTTTAAAACATGGTTTCCCTCAAACCTCAGTTCAACTGTTGCTACTCAACTTCATGTGTTTTGTAAATTTAGCCAGTTCATTTTACTAACTGTCTGTTTGTGTTCCTTATTTACCTTTTCCTACACCTGGCCACTACCTGAACTGCACTGTTCACATTAAATCTTTATTAAATATACATGCTCTGATTTTCCTTTTACTCAAAAGGAACCATGGACCATGGTTTTAAGATTTATTTATTTCCACCCCCCCTTTTTTTTTTTGTTAATGAAATCACAAAAATATTCATACATAATGAGACAACAAAAATCCAGAGATTTATTTGCATTCTTTTTATTAGATTTCCCAACATTAGACTACAAGCATGAGAACAGTCGGATGATTGAAGTAATAATATAACTTTTTTTTTTCAAAAGCAATCATGTCGTTCAAAAATCAAAGTCAAACATCCACATTATGTGGCAGGAAATGAATAAAGAAAGCAGAACTGTTAATCGTTAAGAATCAATAAAAACATGAATATAGAAAAAACAGAATATCAAACACCACAAAAACTATAAACCCCAACCAAAGCTGTAAAATAGTAAAAAATAAAATAAAAGAAATTGTAACATGAAATCTATAACTATTGCAACATCATATATTTTTTCCTATGTCAAGCATATAAAAAAATCATGGAAGATTACACACTGTTATATATCCCATATATGTGATAAGTGAACAAAAAGCATTTAAAACAAAAAGATGCGAGCAGTCTTTTCTTGCAAAAAAAAAGTAATTGTTTTAAAGTTGCACAGTTGATGACAAAAGAGACATATAACGCAAAATGTTATTTTTTTTGCCTTTCATTTGGGTTTCTACTGCTTATAGAAACAATATAAGCAAAACAAAAACAACAAAAAACAGCCATTATTTGGCAATTAGTAAATGTTTCACTGGTATATTGACCGTTTGTCCAAAACTAATTCCAAAATTGAAAAAACTCAAATCTCATAGGTGATCAAAGCAAAATGAAATAAACTCAAATAGTCAATACTGTGCATCGTGGGTTCTGGTTTACACAGTCCAAACAAAAAGTCAAAATGCAGCCCTTTGTTTTCTCTATTCAGTTTTAGCCAAAAAACAAGTTACAGGATTCGGAAAAACCTGTCCTTACTCCTGCACCTGTTCTCACTGATAAAAACTGACTGACTGATGACAGACGACAGACCTGATGACAGGACTGATGACAGGACTGATGACAGGTAAAAAAACCATATGACCACCCACGTGACTCAAGACTTATCTAAACCCTACATATTTATACTGTGAAACACACCCACTTCCCAAACTGAAATCAATTAACTAATTAAGTGAATTACTAACCAAAAAACTTATTTAGAAACAACTTAAACATTCTAATTATAAATCAAATAGAAAACAAACAAAATAAGCTAATTAATCTACATTCTAAACTTTAACTGAAAATAATGGAGAAATAGCTCCTACAACTGAACTGTTCCAAAAACCTCTGCAGTACAAATTCCATTACTGATAATAACTCCAAACCCAACCAAATCCATCGCCTGAAAACCCAACTGGATTTTCAGCTTTCAGTTCAGTTTATTACAAGAAGAATTGTGTTGCTGCGAGAGAAAAATCACCCAGAAAGAATGACTTTCTTTATATTCATGACTTGCTTTCTGGCAGGGAGGGACGGCATTGGGTTACACAGACTGCAGGTCAGAACCTGTCTGCAGGTTTTTCCTCATCTTCGTTTTCTTATTCTCAGCTTTTAGTCAAACGGTTTTAAAATTGTCGCACTTTAACGTGAGAGTTCAAAAACTATAGAGGAGGGACAAATAAAGCTCTATGTATTGTTTTTAGTCTTATTCTATTGCAGCATGAGGGTCATACATAAATTATGATCAAAACTCAAAAAAAGAGATGTGAAGCCTGAAACTGATTGATTGATTGATTGATTGATTGATTGTTATAAATTACCTAGTAAACTTTTGCTTTCATTACTCACATCTCTGTTTAAGTCATTTTTTTGTGTCAAACTGAACCAAATGTCTTTACAGACACAGGCCCACGTAGTCGTTTCTTCCCCACATTTTCAGACATGGGTAAACGGGCTCAGAGAAACTGTCATGGAAAGTGTGAATGTGATCCACTCTGTCACCTCTGACTGCATAATACGACAAAGAACCGGCATTATAATCCAGATACAACCCAACACGGGATAAGCCGGTCTTGGGAATGGGTTTATTCGAGCGGATATTTTCATGCTCTATGTAGAATGTGGGTTGTTCGTTTACCCACTTCCACCCCATAGACCAACTCAATGCAGTTTTACCAATGTCGGACCATTCAATACAATCTCCTTTCCTGTGTATTCCTTCATAACAAACACCAACAGCGGTATCTTTACCTTTGTCAATGTTCATTTTAATCTCCCAGTAGTGGCGCTTTGTCAGCCTTTCTTTGAACAGAAGCTGGCAGAGTTGGTCAAATCTCAGGTGGTTATCGGGATATGACTGCCTGTCTCCGTGTGTCACTCTCTTGGTCCCATCAAGAACGAGGTTTGGGTGTGCTGTGTCTGGATCCATATTGAGGCTGGTGGCATCTGAGGGGGAGAAAAACAGAAAACCTGATCAAGGCCATGATTTCCAAAAAGGTCTGAAGAGTTTTTATTTAATGTGTAACTTCATACTTTACACATCTGCTCAGGGACAATGTCTAAACATTTATTTCCTAAATAATCTTCAGTGTAAGAAGTGCAGTGTCCACTTGGCTTTCATGTACACTGTTGCTAAATAACAAATTCAAGTGGATGCTCAACATTGTCACAAGACCCAAACACTTTTTGGTTCAATGTATGAGGTGTCATATAGCAAGGCTAACAAGGCCAATATATGTCACATATATTTCTATGTTGTGATATGTTACACATTTTGTTGAATGCACCTCTCTTTCCTCTCTTTGTAAGGCAGTCTGCTCCTCCTTTGCCATATCAGATATAAATCCCTGGCTTTAGTCAGAGAAAACTTGTGACACTCAGAGAAATTTGATTTTACATTAGTCAAAAAATGAAAATAATGAATAGTGACTTACACCACAGGAGATCTCTTCTTTCTGTTATTTGTTCTACATTAACAAAATCTGGTTTTTTAAAATCTTCTGTGATCAGTTTGTTGTTCCTGTAGTGGTAGATGGTTGCTCCTTTGTATCTTGTTTTTATGGCTGTTACTACAAATCTGTACTTTGCTTCGTTCTTCAGACCTGCAGAAAGTTCACCGATCACTGCGGCTTTTTCTCTCATTCTTGTCAGTTCTTCTTCTGAGAAGTACCACAGGTCCTCAGTGGCTGGACTAACATTCCCTGTGGCCTTGAAATCCATTGTCTCCAGGTACTCTGCCATTTTGTCAAGATAAGGATCTGATGTTTCCAGAGAGGTAAAAACGAAGCAGATGACATCTTCTGCTTCAGGGGACAGAAGCTCCTCCATAACGTCAGACTCTTTAGGGAGGATCTTTACTCCAGCCATTGTCTCAACAGAGAACTTGATCACTTTGACTTCTCTTTCCATGTTTTCCATCCATTTATTTAATTTGTCTGAACTGAATGGAGACTGTTCTTTCTCATTCAAGGTTCTCAACATCTCGTTCTCATCTTCCTTTCCTGCCCTGATGCCTGGAATCTTCTTTTTCATCAGATCCTGCAGCATCCCTTCATACATGCTACACCTTTGCTTGAAAGCAAACAAAGCTTTGGAAATCTGCGGGAATTGATAGCTGTCTGCCAAACAGTCATTGCACCTCATTTTCAAGTCTGAAGCTCTGCCAGGGCATTTTGAACCTTTCCCAAAAGCC